AGGTTTTCACACTGTTGCAATGAAATGTATAATACAATAATTTAAAAAAATAGCTTCAAAATGTTATAGGCATCCACTCAAAATTATGAGATGAGTCAATTAAAGTTGGAAGGAAGGAAGCCAGACAAAATAATTTTCAAAAGTGGTTTTTATTAGAATTTAGAATTCTTCTCTTGAATATTAATCGAGTTTGTTTTGCATTTCATGGATAAGATCTAAATAAAGTAATTGGATTTAAAAAATATAATTACAATTCTTACAACATTGAAAATTATGAGCAGAGTTGGAAAAGCCATCAGCATTTTTTTTTCACTTGAATCATCTTAGCAGTAGCAAGGTCTGCACCTGTGGCAATAATTAGCCTTCACGGAAATGGATTAAAATCAGTACTCCAAGTAATTGAAGTTTTATGATAATTATTTTATTGCTTACATTTTTTGTTAGAAGTGTGTTATTATATATCATTGAATAGGTGTAATTAATACTAAATAAATATTAATTTTAATTAGAGAAGTTTTTTAATAGAAAATAATTTGGAGTCCAAAAATTTGCGATTTTGTTTTTGAATGATGGATAATAATCAATTACTTAAAGTACAAATTGATTAGGTATTTAATGTTTAACGTATTAATCGGCTTGTTGATTGGTTGATTAATTGATTAATTAGATTTTAATTACTCCCACATAACTTATTTAGGATATAACACATCACATGTTAATTGGATAAGTGTTAATACAGTTAACACATTTCCTTAATCAAAAAGATAAAAAACGATATTTCGTCAATTTATTATTTAAAATATTTTTAAGAAATAAAGAAATAATTCTTGCCTGTCACATTAACTCTTTTATTACCACCAATTTAATAAATTGTATTACCAATATTATTGGTTAAAATATTTTATTAGATTGAGTTTGGGAGCCAGACATCAGGAAATTGATCCAAACCGCAAATTTTGTGCGTGGTAATTAACCGAACGGAATACCAAGAGTAAATATTAAACAATAAAATCATAAATCAAGGTTATCGATTGTCACGAAACTCCTCGGACAAACCCGGAAGTTAGGTGCTTGAGATAATTAAATTCTAGGGGGATGCTTGGAGACAGGTCGTTAAATATCGATTATCTTAAACTTTATTTTGTATAAATTTGCGTCTAGAGCTTTGAAAAAGTCAAGTAAAATGCGTGAAATTTAATAAATTATTCATTCATCGTAAAATTCATGTCAAGCTTGATTTTTATTTCCTTTAATTTTTTTCAGAAATGAGATGAAAGGAACGAGTTATATTTACATCCTTATAACATTCAAAATTAAATTCATTAATGTTAAGATATAACTGGTATTATTGAATTAAGAAATCTACATAATTCAAACTTATCCAATTTGTTGTAAGTCACTTGAAAATTTTACACACGCTAATCCTTGTAATTTTTAATTATTGGGTTTAACAATGGAGGCAAACAATCCGGGATTAGGCTTTTGCCTGCAACATGTAATTGTGTAATTACAGCTCTTGTGTTCCAAATTAACGATTTATTTTTGAAGGCTGAGTGTATGTGTTAATATTAATGTAGTCATGTCAAACAATGTTAATATTAGCATCCCTCGTTAGTAATTAATAATTTCACACTTTTTGTGTGTTGATTTTAAGGCCATTGTACAGATTGTTACACTGACTGCTTTGATGACGATCTATGCTTAAACATAATCATTAAAAGGATTTTTTCTTTAATTGTGCTTTACCATACAAGGACACATTAATTGTTATTTATTAATACTTGTTACATTTTATTGATACTCCTACTTTTCTTCTTTTACATCTCAGCCTTGGGAGTAAAATTGTTCCATTTCCGATCGTGATTCTTTCGAGGGATTTGTTCAAGGTACCATGATTGTTACCTGACATGAATTATTGTTTCTCTATGAACAGACTTTTCGAAATTCTTACTATTTATTATGGTAATTATTCATTTTTGCTCATTTTAGCTTAGAATTTACATAAATGTAGTGTCCTTGTGTAAAAAGGAACGTAAATTTGCGATATATGTACTCGTATGTATGGAAATTGTGTTTATTATATAAAAAATGTAATTAACTTGCAGTGGATTGATTAACTTTGATCAAACGAAATGACGTTGAAATTATTGGTGGTTAAGTCAATTAAAGATTTACGGAAACAGTGGAGATAAAAATCTACATTTAGTTAGGTGTAGAAATAAAATTGTACTTTTATTGGCCATTTTGTTTTAATTAAATGGCAGTAAAAGGAACAATAAAATTTTTATTTACGACTGCTTGAAAATTATGAAATAATAGGAAAACAAATGTAAAACTTATCCACCGTCAGAGCGCAATTCTTATTTTACATTTGATTCTATCAATTTTACAGAATTTCGTAATAAATGTGAATATTAATATCCGTAACACGTCATATACGTAGTATTCAAGAATTTCTGCATTTACACTTTATTGAAATGTCATTTTCGTTTTGACAAAAAATATAAATTTCAATCGAATTCCACAATAAATCTACGCACATAAGTACGTATAGTCAAGTACTCTTCAATTAAAAATATCAATCATTATTTTAGAGGCTTGTATCATTTGTTATAAATGTCAAAGGGGAAAATAATAAGAGAAAGAAAACTTATTTACTTTAATTATGTAGTATTTTTGGTTCATCTTATGTTCATCCATTGTTGGATTTTGCTTTAATTATAGGTACTAAAGGATTTTAAAAAATACATGACATGTGCTTTGTTTAACGATATTTCAATATTCATCTTTTTATGTACTCGTAATGCATATACAGAGTGGTTATAAATGATTTTCATCTAACCAGCTTTAGAATTTTTTTGCATGTAACTTTATTTGTGCCGCTCTACTTTTTTGAAAGCTCTAGTTGTGTCATTAGTGTCATTTATTAATTAATAATAAATTGTTGTTAATTAAACTTTTATTGTTTCAACTAATTTACAATAATAATTATCAATGTATACTTTGGAAGTAAACAAGTTTAGGTATAATTGAAGTCTATTTTCGAATTAGACGCTTAGTAAACGGCGATTTTTTAATTTTGAGTTAAAACGAGTAGGTACCACTATTTTCGTAAAGTGGCATTTTTATTTTACATGAAAAATTCACAGCTGGTTAGATGAAAATCATTTATAGCCACTTTGTATAATTCGAATCACTTATTAGAGAGTTTCCCAAAATCGTAAAAAAGTTTATTCACAATCACTAATGTAATATGTCGATTACTAACCTTTTAAAGGGTGGGAAACACATCATTAAATCTCATGAGGAGTGATAATATTACTTCTCTTGGACGGTAATATGCAAGATGGCCAATCTTAAAATTACAAAAATACCAGGAATTTTTTTTAAATCGCCAAGTTACTCATAATATTTTGCAAAATTAGTATTCAATTGCTTTTGTAGCAGTTTCTCTTACTTCTGGGCGAGTACACTGCCCCATTTCGACGATTTTAAATCAGATTCAGACATTATTTCAATATTTTTTTTGACATTTCTGAAATGTCAAAAATCAAACGCCATTTGGATGGCCTACCATATTTGGACCTTAACTTTGTTAGAATTTTATTTTACCCAAATTTTTGATTGAAAATAATGTGATTCCTTTACTACATCAGTTTAAAGGCAACAGTATTTTTTAATAATTTTAATTTACAAATAATTTATAATAGAATTTAAAGTCCGGTTTACGTTTAACTGTAGGTAATAATTACATTTTTATTTTATTTATTTTTATTTTAGTTCAATACAATTAATTTGACGTTTGGCAAAGGAAATTAGTTATTTACTTAATGTGAATTAGTTTAATTTGCTTTAAAAGTCTCATTCGCTTATTTAATCGGCGTTTAGTTTTTTAATCACTTTGCAGTTACATCTTTAAAAAATCAGACGTTGGTACATTTAAAAATACGTAAGTTTTCTGTTTTAAAGCAATAATCATGGTTTGAATATTTTTTTCATTTTTTTTTGTGTGTATACTGTTTTTCATATTTATGTGCATCAAGTAGATGTAGAAGTCTAAATGCATTATCTTAAAGGCTGATTCACACAAAAAGTGTCATTAATGTCATTCAAAACAAATTTATCACATCAATAATGACAAAATCTTGATGTTTGCTCCCCTATGTTAATTATGTTGTTAATTTAATTTATTTTTTACTACCTGAGGTACACATTATTTGAAAAAATAATTTGTGGGAAAGATTGAAGTTAGGATTGTTTGAATTTTTGCATGGTTGATCCCTAATCCCTTTCAACGACTACTTCGATGCACAGTTTAATATGAAAACGAGTATGTCTGAAATAATGAACAAATATTTATTTATTTAAGAAAAAGTATTGGTTTATTTTTGTAAATAAGTATGTAATTATTATTATAAAATAAAAATTAATCTTAATTTAATTACTTTGGAGGAATTGAAAACGCACATGTAGTGTTATGATGACATTAGGAAGATATTTATTTTTATTAAAAAATTATAGCCATATGTTATTGTCTATCATATGTTAACAGTAGAGAGCGTATTATAACGACACAAATGTAAATATTATGTTAGCAAATAATTGAAAAGTTATACTCGTCCTTCTGATACTTTTTTGTAGTTATAAAATACTATTACTCTCGCTTATGAGCCACAATTAGTAAATCGGTTCAAAATTCAACTTGTCAGTAAAGCGTCATTTTTTCACTTAATTCATCTTATAACAAGCCACCAAGAACAAGCTAATTGCCTGATTCGCTATGGCGGCTGCGGCTCTTTGAAATTTCGTCAATTCACCAGTACCGCAGGTTAAAGATCAATCACAACAATAAACCGAGCATTTTGCGAGAAAGTCGGCAGCACCGCCGCTAATCACAAATGTTAAACGCTTAGTGGAGGGAAATCCGCGGTACTCGCGGTGTCCTTAACTTTCGGTATAAAAACATGCAAGTCTTTGACTCAAGCTTTAGTCCAAATCATTGTCGGTTAGGATTTACCTCGCAGGGGGTTAGCCTGGCCGAAGCTCCGGTGAAGTGAGTGATTTGTGTCCAAGTGCTCAAAATGCCTCCCCAAGAGAAAATGCCCGAGACGGGCTCGAGTCAAGAGTGCGAGACTCAGTTGGAGTTGCAATGCAACGGATACACAAACGGCGCTTTCGTGCCCGATAACGGAACCGTTAAAGAGGAGAAAAAGGACGAAAAGGACGAGAAAGGCTTTGAGTTTGATGACTTGCTGCCGCATATAGGAGAATTTGGGATGTATCAGAAGATTCTTTTTTTAATGATGATTCCGTTTTCGTTTTTCGTGGCTTGGGTTTATTTTACACAGATATTTATTACTATTATACCGGAGCAGCATTGGTGCTGGGTCCCTGAACTTGCCAATATGACGGTGGACGAAAGGTGAGATTTTGCATGCTTGGACAGATTAAGGCGACAGAACTGTGTCAGAGTTTTTGTTTACCTATTGTTGTGCATTGGTGTGAGGACGTTCAACGGATCATATTGTTAGTTAAGCAACTAATTATTATTTAAAAAATCGGTGTGGTTTATTTTGACAAGTAATTGGTGCAAAAGCTGCACTGTTTTCCTTGCTGAATTATCATTGTTTTAATTGAAACCTTTTTTTAATCTTCTTGTGTCATTTTATTTTTTTAATTATTTGATATTTTACTTTAAAAATTTTTATTTTGGTTTTGTGGTTAGTTAAGTTAATTATGTAGATATTTATTGTTTTAATTAAACAAAACCTTAAATAATAATTTTTTTGTAGGAAAATTTTCTACTTCT